CTCCAGACCCTTGATCATTTTAGTCGCCCTCCTCTGGACACATTTCAGCTTGTCAATATCTCTCTTGAATTGTGGTGCCCAGAATTGGACACAATATTCCAGGTGTGGTCTAACCAAAGCGGAATAGAGGGGTAGCATTACTTCCCTAGATCTAGACACTATGCTCCTATTGATGCAGGCCAAAATCCCATTGGCTTTTTTTGTGCCGCCACATCACATTGTTGGCTCATGTTTAACTTGTTGTCCACGAGGACTCCAAGATCTTTTTCACACGTACTGCTCTCGAGCCAGGCATTGTCCCCCATTCTGTACCTTTGCATTTCGTTTTTCCTGCCAAAGTGGAGTATCTTGCATTTGTCACCGTTGAACTTCATTTTGTTAGTTTTGGCCCATCTCTCTAATCTGTCAAGATCGTTTTGAATCCTGCTCCTGTCCTCTGGAGTATTGGCTATCCCTCCCAATTTGGTGTCGTCTGCAAACTTGATGATCATGCCTTCTAACCCTTCATCTAAGTCATTAATAAAGATGTTGAACAGGACCGGGCCCAGGACGGAACCCTGCGGCACTCCAACTTCCTTTGTTCAACCGTATTCCGTCCCTTTTTCAGTTAGCGGGACGAACACTGGACACTTAGCAGGCTGTAATGTGGAATGTAAATCTGGGTGGGGGATTCCAGTCATCATTAGTAAAGGGTCAAATGGCAGCGGTCCTAGGTCAAGCGCCAGAGCAAGGTTGAGTCATTTGTAAACTCGCTCCCCTGCCAACCTGCGTTCCATCCCCAGACATACGGCCGAGAAGGTGCTATCTTTGTCCTCCCCCCTGTCCCTGCTACTAATCAATGCTAGGTCTGTTGTTAACAAAACTGCTACCCTCTACGACTTCATTCTTGACCAAGCAGTGGACCTGGTTTGCAATTACAGAGACCTGGATCCGTGAGGGAGATAACATCCCCTCACATGAACTGACACCTCCAGGTTTCCAGATATTTCAACAGCCTCGGAGTGCGGGACGGGGTGGAGGGGTTGCATTACTCCTCCGTGATTATTTTACCATCAAAATTGTTCCAACTCCGAAGATAGCTGGCATCGAATGTCTCGGTGCGGTCTTGGCCAGTAGGGAATCCTTAGCCATTCTTGTAGTTTACCGTGCACCGGGGTTGCCGGGTGAGAGTCTGCTTAAGCTATTAGATCTTGTTGCGGACTGGGCCCTGAGGTTCCCCAGACTTATTGTCCTGGGTGACTTCAATGTACATGCCGAGGCTCCATCATCCTCCTCAGTAACTAAGGACCTAGTACTAACCTTGGAAACTTTGGGGCTCTCATTAATCAAGACTCGCCCCACTCATCGGGCTGGTCATACTTTAGACCTGATTTTCTATATTGGAGTACGGACATCTTTATCGGCGGTAATTGATGTCCCCTGGTCTGACCACGCTGCCCTGAAGGCCAGGATTGAGACTCCATCCCCTCCTTCCCAAACCGTCAAACCAATCCTTGCCCGCTCTAGAAGACTCATGGAACCTGCCAGGTTCTTGAATGCCCGTAAGGGCCTTGGAACCATGTGCGTCACTCTCAATGAGCAAATCAACAACTGGAACACCAGTCTGTTGGCTGCCTTGGATGAGACTGCTCCCAGATGCCACTTCCGCCCTCGCCGGAATCGCTCCCCTTGGTACACTAATGAGCTACGGATGATGAAGCAAGCACGAAAGCAGCTGGAACATTGGTGGAGACAGAAACCTGATGAAGTGTCAATGTCTACTTTTAAGGCTTTTCGCAAGTCCTATGAGTCAGTCATCAAGGACGCTAAAAAATCATATAATTCTTCCTTAATAGCCTCTGCTAGATCGCGCCCAGCACAGTTATTCAAAATTGTTCGTGCCTTGATTAGTGCGGCTCCTTTAGTCCAGAACCCAACAACTATGCCTATTACAGCTTTGGCATTCCAGGAATTTTTCACTAACAAAATTACCATGCTTCGGCAAGAACTCCCGCCCACAGTCGACACTTTGAGTGAGCTGGAGACCTTGTGGCCGCTTAGTGGGCCTATCTTTGATCAATTTACACCACTTCACACAGAAGATGTCACCAGAATTCTGGCTACTGCAAAACCAACCACCTGTTCTCTTGATCCGTGCCCCTCTTGGCTGATCAAGAGCTGCTTGGAAGGTCTACTCGATCCGTTGTGCAGTATAATCAATGGCTCTCTTGAACAGGGGTTTTTTCCGGACAACCTTAAAGAGGCAAGGGTTCGTCCCTTGTTAAAGAAACCTAGCTTGGATCCTATGACCCTTGCCAATTACCGTCCTGTTTCTAATCTGCCATTCTTAGGCAAGGTGATAGAGCGGGCTGTACTGGGACAATTGCAACAATTCCTGGATGACAAGCTGGCCTGGACCCTTTCCAGTCAGGTTTTCGCCCGGGTCATGGGACGGAGACAGTCCTGGTTGCCATTACAGATGAACAGTCTGACAATGGTGGATCCGCGCTATTGGTACTTCTCGACCTTACCGCAGCGTTTGACACCATTGACTACGATCTAATGATTCACCGTCTTGCTATGTCTGAAGTTCACGGTCAGGCCCTTAATTGGTTCAACTCATTTCTCCGGAACCGGAGCCAACGCATGGAGTATATGGATCAAGTCTCCGATAGATCCCCCCTCCTATGTGGGGTCCCCCAAGGTGCAATTCTCTCTCCTCTCCTCTTCAACATCTACGTTAGACCCCTTGCTAGTTTGGCTCGGAGTTTCGGCCTGGACTGCTATCAATATGCGGACAATACCCACCTCCTTCTGCGCCTGGAGCCTGGAGCAACGTCAATACCAGACAATTTCACCCTATGTCTGGAAGCTCTGTCGAACCAGCTACGTGCTAGCAGACTAAAGGTGAACCCGGCGAAGACTGAGATTCTCTGGCATGGCTGCCCGGCAGGTCTGACTCATCAGTCCCCACCTTCGATGGTGCCGCCCTATCTCCATCGACCACTGTTAAGAGCTTAGGTGTCGTCCTGGATTCGCAGCTGACAATGGAAGCTCAGGTCGCTGCTGCCAGCAAACAGGCCTTTTTCCATCTACGACAAGCGAGGCAACTGGCACCCTACCTATCTGACGAGGCTCTGGCAACTGTCATCCATGCCACGGTCACGTCTAGGCTGGACTATTGCAACGCCCTGTATGTTGGCCTTCCGATGTCTACGACCCGAAAGCTTCGTATTGTTCAGAATGCGGCAGCCAGGTTACTCACAAGAACGCCCATGAAATGCCATATAACACCAGTGCTGCAACATTTACATTGGCTTCCAACTGAGTACCATGGCCTGTATAAGATGCTAGTTCTGACCTTTAAAACTCTTTACGGCCAGGGTCCATCGTACCTTAGGGACCGCCTCTCCTTCTCCCATCATCGGAGGTTGCAACGACCAGCCCAACATGACTTACTCTATATACCGGGTCCTAGAGAAGTGCACTTGGAAAGGACCAGACGCAGGGCTTTTTCTATTTCTGCCCCTGCCTTGTGGAATTTCTTGCTGCCCTACGTGAGAGCCATGCGTGACTTAGGACCTTTTACTCAAACACTTAAGACCTGGCTTTTTACTAGAGCATTCGATCCTTGTTAATTTTTAATTTTTGTATGTATGTATTTTATCTTTTACAATTTAGCTGTAAATCGCCTAGAGCATTCTCGGATGGAGGGCGATTAATAAGTAATTAAATGATGATGATGATGTTGAACAGGACCGGGCCCAGGACGGAACCCTGTGGCACTCCACTCGTCACTTCTTTCCAGGATGAAGAGGAAGCATTGGTGAGCACCCTCTGGGTTCGTCCATTTAACCAATTACAGATCCACCTCACCGTAGTTTTGCCTAGCCCACATTGGACTAGTTTCCTTGCCATAAGGTCATGGGGGACCTTGTCGAAGGCCTTACTGAAATCCAGGTACGCTACATCCACGGCATTCCCCGCATCTACCCAGCTTGTAACTCTATCCAAAAAAGAGATCAGATTAGTCTGGCATGACTTGTTTTTGATAAATCCATGTTGACTATTAGCAATGACCGCATTTGTTTCTAAGTGTTTGCAGACCACTTCCTTAACAATCTTTTCCAGAATCTTGCCTGGTATCGACGTGAGGCTGACCGGACGGTAATTGTTTGGGTCATCCTTTTTTCCTTTTTGAAGATTGGGACCACATTAGCCCTCCTCCAATCTGCTTGGCCTTCTCCCATTCTCCAAGCACTCTCAAAGATGATTGCCAATGGTTCTTAAATGACTTCCACTAGTTCCTTCAGTACTCTTGGGTGTAGTTGATCTGGCCCTGGGGACTTGAACTCAGTTAGAGCGGCCAGGTATTCCTGGACGACTTGTTTCCCAATTTGGGGTTGATGTCCTCTAATCCCTCACCCACTCCATCTTGCTGGGTACTCAGTTTTACCATGTCAGGAGACCATTTGCTCTCTCTCGATCCCTAGGCCAAATTGGTTATTTGGGTCTCCAAACAACCCAATATTTAAAGGATACTTTTAATATTTATCATTGCAGAAGATCGAACCCGAGAATCTCCGGATACCTAAGCTATTTTATTTCTATAGCAATGACAGCCTCACTGTCATGCTTGACCTCTCCCATACAAATAAGCAAGAAGGAAGTATATCTATTCTCTGTCCCTAATGAATTTCTGAATAATTCTTTATCATTCAACCTGCTTATTTGTCGTTCTACCCTAACCTAACGCTGTTACCTACTCTGTTATGTCATGTTGTATTGTGTTTTTTGTATGTGTTGGCATTGAATTGTTGCCATTGTAAGCCGCCCTGAGTCCCCCCTTGGGGGTTGAGAAGGACGGGGTACAATTGTTTGAAATAAATAAATAAATACCCCTTCATCTTCATAACCCCACACCCAGATTCTGTTTTTTGGATCCACTGGAATGGAAAATCCCATGTCATTTAAAACTTTCTCATAACCTTTGCAGAGAACAGTGATGCAAGAGTCCATACCGTTAGCGTCGTGGATGTCAGCCATTGTCCAGACAAACTGATGCAGTACTCCCAGGCCTGGACTTTCATAGGCCCTGGAAACAGAGAAGAAAAGGCATGGCCAACAGCATGACACAGACAACCAATTTCTTAGACCCAGATTAAAACAGATTTAAAGGAGAGAATAATCTCTGATGAACTTCATACCTGGAGGAAGTTCTTCGGCCATTTTGTAGGCAATCCCTGTGGCCCATTTGGGGTTTGTTATAAAGTGCAAATACGACGTAATGGTCTGCATCATTTTAGCAGTTTCCTTGTCAACCACTATCCAACAGTCACTCCTTGTTGCATCCAAGATCTTGGGCTTCAGCTTTTGTTGGAACAAATGATTGGCTGCTAACATGTAGAGGGTATTCAAAGAGACCTTGGGAGAAAGAAAAAGGCAACAGACTCAATGAAGACTTTCTGCTGCTTCAACTTCTGTGCACGACTGAGATCAAACTGCTCTTTGTTCAGCCCTTCCCTCTTTCAGGACTCTCCATGCCAACAAGGGTTTCATCCGAGTGGGAGAATACTAGGACTCTGATAAGATTTCAAGACAAGCAAAAGATCAAGTTCTGATAAAGTTAAGTCAGAATCAAAAGCTGGTGCATCCTTACCTTCATGAGTTTGGACATCAGAAGTAGTCTGGGGAATGAGTCCTCACTTAGCTCTGCAGCTATAACCAAAGAGAAGCCCAGAATGAATTATTGAAAGAGTATGAAAACGGGCTACTTGCGAATTCCTAGATACCGTTGGATTTTGACTCCCAGAGTTTGTAATAACTGGCCGTGCAAGTAATCTATACACATAATAAAATGAATGTGTGTATGTGTGTGTGTGTGGCTGGGGTGTCCACTTACACAGACAAGCTCCTGCCTTCACAAACAGCTATAGCTTCCACCAGGGCCGTAGCCAGAAAAAAAATTCGGGAGGGGTTGAAATTTTCGGGGGGGGGGGGTTGAAAATTTCAGGGGGGGGGGGTTGAAACCTGCCTCCTAGCTCACGCTGAAGCAAAGAGCACAGCAGGGGGCAGAGCAGCCTTCAATAGCCTGCAGCTCCGCCCTTGTCAACCACCTCCACCAAGTCTGGCCTCCTTAATGAGAGCATTCAACATCCCCCCCCCCCCCAACTTGGTTGCTTCACTACTGTTCTGTCACGCGCTGGGCCTGTAAATAATTGTCTTTAGAACAGGATGTGCAACCTTTGCCCAGCGGGAAGCCAGGGGGCCCAAAGAGAAGTTCTCAGAGGTTTCCACCACAAACAGTCTTTAGATGGCTTGTGAAGTACAACAAAGTCTTTTATTAATGAACAATCAAACAGAAACTTCTCTTGTCTTCAGTAAAGTTAAGCAAATGATTCCAAGCTTTTAGGCAACTGGTGAATTCCTAATCTTGCCCACGAAGGACAGGCAACTGTCTTCAATAACTTCTTCTTTAAAGGAAAATCCCCGTTTTAACTTCTCCCAGGCTGACTGTAATCTAACCCTTACTGATGTGGGCTCCGCTACCGGGTCGAACTGCGTCTCGAACGCCGAGTGGACCTACCAGCAAGGCAGTAGATGTTCTCCAGCTGGAGTTCTTTGGTCTTTAGGGCTGTTTTCCTGGAAATTCTTTGGAGACTCTTAAGACCTTTCTCCCCCGGAAGGTCTTAAGGGTTGACGCTTTTGTACAGGAGAAACTTGCACACATTCTATACATAAGCTTACTTTGTTGAGACTAACTAAAAATGGTTCACCTCCCTTCCCAATTGCCCTGAGCAAGGGGCGGGACCAAAACTTAACAATGATGGACAGGTGACTTGTCCTATGACTGCAACCAAAGAAGCCACCTATCTGCAGAGTCCCTGAAACCGAGGACTGCAAGCAAACATTTAATACAAAGCAAATAAAGTTGGAGCTCCTGGTACAGCTGTACCAGAACAACTACATCGGCTATTGCTGCAAGTAATGACAGTGTGAATAAATTGCTAATATTTGCTTGAGATCGTGCTTGCAGTTCTGGAGGAACTCTTGATTTTTTGCATCTCATAGACTTAGCATGGGGATTTGGTTAACCAGTTAAAATTCATGAGTAAACCAGGTTTTTTTAAAAAATCTGAAACATTTGGGGGGGGGGGTTTGAACCCCTAAACCCCCCCCCCTTGCTACGGGCCTGGCTTCCACTACTCAGAAGACACCAATGGCGCTCCCTCTAATGACATTGCGGGTTATAGTGAGCGCCATGAACATGTCCAAGAGCCCTGCCAATGTTCTCCACAAATACGACACTGCTCACCACCCACATGAAGGTTTCCATACAGGGACAATTCCATCCTACGTTTTATGTGTTTCCTCCACCACAGACATTCCAGTGTTTCTGACTCTCCCCATTGGTGTGGAATTTGCATGACCTCACCCACTGCCTCTCCCTTAACCCTCTCCTATTCTTTTCTGTGCCACACAGCAAACAGAGGAATTGATAAGCAACTGAACTTACTAAAGAGGTTTGGGGAGAATTCACCTTTATTTATAGGGCTTGTAGGTCCTGGGATGCATAGTTCACCTGCAAACTAAGAGAACTCTGAACTCCACCAACGATGGACCTGCAACTAACTTGGCACACAGAACCCCCATGACCAACAAAAAATACTGGAGGTCTTTGGAGAGATTTAGAGGAGTTGTAGTTCACCTACATCAGGGTGCACTATGAACCCAAACAAGGATTCGTATGAACCAAACTTAGTGTGCATACCCGATATACCCAAATTTGAATACTAGTAGGTTTTGAGGGGAATTGGCCTGGGCATTTTATTTATTTATTTATTTATTTATTATTTAAACTTATATGCCGCCACTCCCCTGGGGCTCGGAGCGGCTTACAAGAATGGCTAAAATCTAACAAAATTTAAAAGCAATTTAAAACAATTTAAAAACAACAGTATCAAACATTAAAAGCCTGTCGAAACAGGTATGTCTTACATGCCCTGCGGAAAGCTGGTAAGTCCTGCAGGGCACGAACCTCAGGTGGCAGAGCATTCCAGACTGATGGCGCCACTGCTGTGAAGGCTCTGCGTCTGGTTGCCGCTAGACGCAAGGTCTTGACACTGGGGACCTCCAATAGATCTTGGTCCTCAGAACGGAGGGATCTCTGGGGTTGGTAGGGGGTGAGACGATCCCTCAGATACATTGGCCCCAGACCATGCAAGGCCTTAAAGGTGAGTACCATCACTTTGAAAGTGATCCGGTGCTCAATTGGTAACCAATGCAGCTGTAGTAAGATTGGTGTTATGTGGCATCTCATCGGAATTCCCGCAAGAAGCCGAGCAGCTGCGTTTTGTACCAACTTGAGCTTCCGAATCACCGACAGAGGGAGGCCAATGTAGAGGGCGTTACAGTAGTCCAGTCTTGAGATGACTGTGGCCTGGATCACCGTAGCTAGGTCGTCCCTGGACAGGTAGGGGGCCAGCCGTCTAGCCTGCCGCAGGTGAAAGAAGGCGGTTCTGCTCACGGCGGAGACCTGGGCCTCCATTGTCAGCAGAGGGTCCAAAAGGACTCCCAGACTCTTTACCAATGATGACGGGCGTAACGCCTCGCCATCCAGGGTGGGCAGATGGATGTCCCCACTGCCCGGTCCACCCAGCCATAGGATCTCCGTCTTTGCTGGATTCACCCTCAACCTGCTGGCACGCAGCCATCCAGTAACGGCCTCGAGGCACTGATGGAAACAATCGGGTACAGAGTCCGGTCGGCCTTCCATCTTCAGCACCAGCTGAGTGTCATCGGCGTACTGATAACACTCAAGCCCAAAACCTCGAACCAGCTGAGCAAGTGGTCGCATATAGATGTTAAACAACAGAGGGGAGAAAATTTTGGAGTTGTAGGTACTGGGATTTATAGTTCACCTGCAATCCATGAGCACTCTGAACTCCACCAAAGACAGAATTGGACCAAACTTGGCACAAAGATGTCCAAACTAGTCACATGATCAGCAAAAAAATCTGAAGGCCTTTGGGGAAAATTCACCTCGGTTTGGTAGAGTTGTAGTTCACCTACATCCAGAGAGCACTGTGAACCCAAACACTCATGGATCTAGATCAAACTATGCAAGCATACCTGATATGCTGAAATTTCATTACTGGAGGGGTTGGGGGGGGGGGGACACACACACTGACTTTCCTTTCTGGGAGTTGTAGTTCACCCACAACCAGAGAAACTGTGACCTCCACTGATGATGGACCTGGACCAAACTTGGCACACAGAACTCCCATGACTAACTCAACCTACTGGAGGGGTTTCAGGGGAGTGACTCACCATAGTGGGAGCTGTAGATTACCCTACAGCCAGAGAGCACACTGAACCCCACCAATGATGCAGAGCGAACTTGCCCAATATACCAAACTTCAAATACTGATGGAGTTTTTCAGGGTTAACCTGGCATGTCGTGAGTTGTAGTTCACCCACAATCTTATTCATTTTGTACATTTTTTTAAAAAAAAAATGACTTTTTCAAATAACCTAGGGAACACCGGGTATCCAAGCTAGTAAATAATAATAATAATAATAATAATAATAATAATAATAATATTAATAATAATGCTGGTGGAATCTTCAAAGTCAAGGGTCATCTTGACCAAGACAGATGTTACCCATCCTATTCACTTGCCAGCTTCAAGACAAAGATTTAAAAAGTTGCCTTTGCACACTCACTAATGATTTTGAAGAAATTGTTTGATGCTCCAAAGAAGATCAGATGGAAGGGAAGCCGGGTCTGAGCAGTTGGCGAGAGAGAGATACCCTGTCCTAAGAGATACTCGTGTTCCAGAGCTCCAGGAACGGACGTTCTTTTGTATGATTTCAGGTGTTTTAGGAGCATCAGCGCTTGGGCCTAGAGGAACCGACAAGGAAAAAAAACCAACACTCATTTCCTCCACTCAACCTCCAAGCCGGTTTTAAAAAGGAAGTCAACTTGTAGCTGAACACTTTCATGAAGCATGGATATAAATAGTGTCGTCAAAGTCGCTGGATGAAGTTACATGCAGTAATGTCTGTCAAATGCATATTTTTGAAAAGGAAGATATGGACAAGCAGTTTGGGAAGTATGTATGGTTTGGAAATACTCTCCCAAAATAGTACATGAGCCATCTGGGTGTTTCTAGCATTTCTCTAGAGCATGTATGTTGCATGGGCCGGGCTTTAGCACAGCAGGTTAACCACCAGGTGCAGTAAATCTTGCCAATCGAAAGGCTGACAGTTCAAAGCCCAGGTTGGCGTGAGCTTCTGGCCTTTAGCCCAGCTTTTGCCTACCTAGCAGTTCGAAAGGAAAATGTGAGTAGATAAATTGACGATTCAATCAAGGAGGAAGTTTACGAATTATAAGTTGCTTACCTGTAACTGTAGTTTCCTGAGTAGTCACCTGTGAATTCGTACATTTGATATCTCTGTGCCTGCGCAGTACAACTTACGGAACCTTCTAGAAAGTAAAAGAACACTTTAGCCCTCAGCTAGGCCCGCCCATTTCCCCCCCCCGAGTATAAATAGCCCATAGGTGGGACTAGCCGACAGTTCTCTTCCGCTGCAAAGCAGCTGGAAGGCGTGGCATGATACTCGAGGGGAGGACAGGCGGGCATGTACGAATTCACAGGTGACTAACTACAGGTAAGCAACTTATAATTTCCTGTCGTAGTCACTGTGAATCGTACATTTGATAGATTAGCGAGCTATAAGGATCGGCTGGCGGGATCATGACACCGCCGAAGAAAGCACCGCTCTTCCAAACTCCATATCCCTATCAGAAACTGCATCCACTTTATAATGTGACACAAATGTCAACGGGGATGTCCAAATAGCCGCCCGGCAGATGGCATCGAGCGACACTCCCTTTAGGAAGGCCGTCGACGTAGCCATTGACCTAGTAGAATGGCCTCTAATCTGTGATGGTAATTCCTTGCCTACCAGGCGATAACATAAACAAATAACAGAAACTATCCAAGAAAACCTCTGAGACGAAACAGGAAGGCCCAAAGTATCTCTTCGATACTTAATGAACAATCTGGGGGTTTTCCTGACCAATGCCGTCCTATCTACATAGAAGGCGAGAGCCCTGCGCACATCCAATAAGTGTAAGGAACGTTCAGCAGATGTGGAAGGGTTCTGAAAGAAACCAGGTAACACTAGTTCCTGTGACATATGGAACTGAGAAGAGACTTTAGGCAAGAAGGCTAAATCGGTTCGTAAAACTGCCCTATCCCTATGAAACTTAAGATAGGGAGGATCCACTCGTAGGGCGCAGAGCTCGCTGGAGCGCCTGGCTGACGTTATCGCCACCAAAAAGGCAGTTTTCCATGACAAAAAGGAAAGATCAATCCTGGCTAAAGGTTCAAAGGGAGGTTTAGAGAGATAGGATAACACCAATTCTAAACTCCACGCCGGGGCGATAGGGGCCACTGAAGGTCTAGTATTAGCAAAACCCCTTAAAAACATTTTAACTAATGGATCGGTAAAACAAGACGGCAACCCACACTTCCTTTTAAACCATGAAATGGCGGCTAAGTAGCACTTAAGTGAAGAATATGATAACCCCTTCTCCGATAAAGATACTAAAAAGTCCAAAACAACAGGAGTAGGAACAGTAACTGGATCCAATCCCTTAAGACGAGCGAATGAGCTGAACTTCGACCATTTGTAAAGGTAAGAGCGTCTCGTCGAAGGTCTGTGTGCAGCTTCAATAATCGCTAACACAGGAGAGGACAGAGTGTCAAATGGGACTAGCGAAGTGGGTTGATTCTCCACGCCGTCAGTCTCAGCTTGTGCACTTCCGGATACAGAACCCGATCCCCCTGTGACGTTAGAAGATCTACTCTGTCCGGAAGTCAAACGAACACTCCCTTCGCCATCAATTGTAGTGGGGAAAAGCATGGCTGTCGCGGCCACCAAGGTGTTATCAAAATGCACCGTGCGCCCTCTCTTTGGATTTTGGCCACCACCCTCAGGAGTAGAGGGAAGGGTGGAAAGGCGTACAAGGGGTGGATCGACCAGTCTTGTAAGAAGGCGTCCTCCAGGCAGCCTATCTCGGCCGAGGCTCGAGCCCGAGCACAAAACAGGGCGCACTTCGTATTGGCCCGGGTCGCGAACAGATCCACCTCCGGAGTGCCCCATGCCCGAAAAAGTCGTAGAGTCTCCCACTGGTTGAGCGACCATTCGTGGTGTGTCAACGGACTCCTGCTGAGGGAGTCTGCCAGCAGGTTCTGTTCACCCGGGAGATGCGTCACCAGGAGATGTATGCCCCGGTCCAAGCACCAGTCCCAAATTTGAATGGTCAGGTTCAGCAGGGGGAGGGAATGAGTGCCTCCCTGCTTGTTGAGATAGTACATCACCGTGGTGTTGTCGGTGAGTACGTGTACTATTTGTCCTCTTACGACCCTTTCGAATGACATGAGAGCCCTTTGCACTGCGAGTAACTCCAACAGATTTATGTGAAAGGTGTTTTCTTCTCCTACCCAAACGCCTTGGGCGATGAGACCCTGTGTGTGAGCCCCCCAGCCCAGAAGAGAAGAATCTGTAGTAATCACTTGAGTAGGAAGGGGCAGGTGAAAAGGCAGTCCCGCCCCCACCCATCGTGCATCCTGCCAGCACTGGAGGGATCGGCGAACATCTGCAGGTAGTATGAGCCAGACAGAAGGGTTGTCCATAATAGGGTTGAATGTTGAAACAAACCACGACTGGAGGGGCCGCATGCGTAGTCTGGCATATGGTGTTACGGCCGTCGTGGACGCCATGTGTCCCAGTAGAACCTGCACCTGCTTGGCTGTCACAAAGGGGGAGGCCATGGTCTGCAGTACCAGCTCTCTCAGGTTGGCAAGTCGGTCTGCTGGGAGGAAGGCTCTCTGAGCGACAGAATCCAGCAGCGCACCGATGAAGGGGATCCTCTGAGAAGGGGACAGGGACGACTTGTCGAGGTTCACCACGAGCCCGAGAGACTGGAGAAGGGACAGAACAAAAGATATTTGGGTTTGAAGATGGTCCCGCGACCTCGAAACGATCAACCAATCGTCAATGTAAGGGTATACCGTCACCCCTCTTGTGAGTAGATGGGCTGCCACTACGGACATACACTTGGTGAACACCCGGGGGGCTGTGGACAACCCAAAAGGAAGGACGTTGAAACAGTATGCCTTGCTACCCATCATGAAGGCAAGGAACCTACGGTGGTGATGGGCAATTGATAAATGGAAATATGCATCTTTTAGGTCAATAGTGGCGAACCACATGCCCTTAGACAACAATGGTAGAATGGAAGAGAGGGTGACCATCCTAAATTTCTTTGGCCGGATATATTTATTAAGGTGTCGGAGATCGAGGAAGGGGCGTAGACCGCCCCCGCGTTTAGTAACCAGAAAGTAACGAGAAAAGAAACAATAAGGAAACATGGAAGGATCCAACGGGGATATTGCCCCTTTATTCAATAACATCTCAACTTCATCCAGCAAGGGCCCCGACGGTAACATGCGTCGGACATGGCCCACCCTTGGCAGATCACAGAACTCAATCACATATCCCTGGGCAACAATTGAAAGTACCCATCTATCGGTGGTAATACTGGACCAAGCCTGGTAGAACCGGGATAGCCTGTCTCCGAATTGAGGAGAAATCACAGGAGCACAATTTTGAGCAACAGGAATTGAAACAGCTGCAACAGGCAGCGACACTTCACACGTTTCGTGAGTCAAACCAGTGGTAAGTGCGTCAAAGACGCTTCTTTGCCCCCCCCCCCCCCCCGGGTTTTGGACTTGATCCCAAAAGCCTGGTTACGGGGTTTTGGGAAGTAAGGGCTCCTTCGCCCCCCTTGGAATCTGGAGGAGTTATTGTTTCTATTTCTAAAGGAGCCTCCATAAGAATTGCCGTAATTTCTACGGAAGCCAGAGGAGGGGAGGTTCCATCTTTGGCGTTGTTGAGGGTACGGCTGCCACGCGTAGCCAAATTTACCCGCTGCCTGCCTCACGTTCTGCTTTTGCTTTAGCCTTTCATCTGTCTGTGGGTTAAAGAGACCCTCCTCATGAAAGGGAAGGTCCTCTGCAAGGGCTTTTCCTTCCTCAGACAAGTTGGAGGCACGCAGCCACGCGTGCCTCCTAATGGAGGTTGCGGTGGAGAATAAATTGCCAGAGGTCTTGGCCAAATGTTTGGCAAAATCTTTCTGCATTTTAGATAGGGCCAACGCCTCTGCCTGCAGTGCCCTAGGGAACCGTTGTTGGTCAGGTGGTAACATTTCGATGTATGGCAGGATCTTTCCCCAGAGGAAAGTCTGGTATCCACTAGCATAGGTGGCGTAATGGGTCATCCTAGTGAATATGCCTGCAGCAAAATGGGCCTTTTTCCCAAAGGTGTCAATTTTCTTTCCCTCTCTATTGGGGGGGGCGGTTAGTGAATTTTTTGGGGCGTTTGGTCTTCGCCACCTCTGCCACCACAGTGTTTGGCTTGGGTGGCGCCGCAACCCACTTTACCGTTGACACATCAATCTTATATAGCAGATCCAGGCGACGCGGGATCGCAGGGACCAAGGAGGGGGACATATCGGACACCTTTGCTAGCTTTAAAAGGTACGGCAGCACAGGTAAAGGAGAGGCGTGGGTTATGACCTGTTCCTCTGAAGGGAAGATGGGGACCTCCACGTGCTCGGGGGGTTTTGGGGCAGGAATATCTAATGCCTTAATAATTCTGTCAATTAAAGCTGCGAATTTATTTACATCAGCAGGGTGCATGAATGTGGTGTTCTCGCCCTCTCCCTGTTGGGTAGCATCAGGGAGTTCCTGATCAGAGTCAGAACTCTCTACCCCAGCAGCGTCCTGTACAGAAACCCCAGGCAAAAGACCCCCCGACCGTCCCGTGGGGGTAAAGTCACCTTGTAATTGTATTTGAGAAGTAGCCAGAGTGGGGGGGTTGTCCCCAGGTAGGTTGTTTTGAATGCAGGCAGTCTGATTCATCGAAGGCTGAGCCGAGGTCAGCACAGAAGTAGAGTTACCTGGGTTCATAACGGTAGAGGTCAGCACAAAAGGAGGGCCACACACAGATGCCCTTTCTGAGGTATTCTGAGAAGATGTGGAAGGCCTGTCACTCAAGGTTTGGGGGCAGGTCGCAGGAGTAGTCAGGGTCCCCGTCGTTGCTATCGCTGGGAAGGCAGGCACAGGCATGGTTGGAAGCGGGTCCTGCACAAACAGCATCTGGCCCGAGGGGCCCATCTGCCAGAAGCCTGGGCAAGGAGGGGGAGCCATAGGCCTACGGTGTTGCCGGGAAGATCTTGCTGTCCTGGAGCGTCTGCTCCGTCCAGAGGTCGAAGAGGAGGAGGAGGAAGACGAGGAAGAAGAGGAGGAGGATCGGGTGCGTCCCAACGTCGACCGGCGTCGGCGGCGATGCGATCTTCCACTCCTTCGGGAGGGGAATCTCGAGCGCCTCGGTCTCCTGCTGCGCCGGCTCTGAGGGCGCTGCGGCCAGGGCTGGGCCAGCGAGGCCAGTACCAAGACAGGAGGAGCTCTATCGGTAGCGGGCACTCCTCCCTCGCGGCCGTCCCCATCTTCTTGCGGTGCGCGGCCGGCAGCGCCAACTTTCGCATTCCCCCCCCGATGGGGGCGGGGCGGCGGAGGCTTCCTCAGATGAGAGGATCGGCATTGGGGGATGCATCGGCATGGCGGCCGAGCTCGCCGCGACTGGAAGCCTCGGAGATTCCCGAACCCTTTGCAGGGGCGAGGGAGAGAAGAGAGGCAGCGCCGCAGTGGGCGACATCAGGCAGGCCGGCTCTGACTCGCGGGCAGAGGAGTCGAAGTCGAGGGCGCTGCCAGCGATATATCAGCTGCCTGCAGGGGCAGCATCGCCTCGGCCTGGATGCTCGGGGCCGCCATAGGCGCATCGGCACGATGGACCTCAAGAGCTCTTCCCGCTCTTTCCTCAGGAGTTTTCTTTTGAACAGAGGCTTGGCGGCCATCTTGTGCCCCACAATTTTTAGACTTTTTGGCCTTCTTTTTGGCTGGGTCGATGGAGGAGGCCGAAAGAGGTAAGTTTGGGTGTTCGGCGGCTTGCCCCGGGGCAGGAGGGCCATCTCATAAAGCGCTGCCCGGAGCCTGGAGACCCTATTTTTTCTCGTCTGCGGTGTAAATGACAGGCATATAGCGCAGGCTTGGGTCAGATGGGCCTCCCCAGGCAGGTGAGGCAAAGAGAGTGCCCGTCTGTATCCGGGAGGATGTTGGGGCACTTGGAGCACTTCTTGAATGAAGTGGTAGCCATAATCGAGGGCGTGGGAGAAGAGTGGTCGAATTCAGTCCAAAGTCAAAATACCTCAAAGTCAGTCCAAACCAGATCGAAGCAAGAGGGCTTAGCAGAGAATTGTCAGGTACACAGTCCAAAAGTCGAAAACCAAGCAATCAAATGGATGATAGAAACACAAAGCACAGAAGGTTCTCCAGTTGTCTCACACGCGAGCGGAAAAAGAGAACTGTCGGCTAGTCCCACCCATGGGCTATTTATACTCGGGGAGAAAATGGGCGGGCCTAGCTGAGGGCTAAAGTGTTCTTTTGCTTTCTAGAAGGTTCCGTAAGTTGTACTGCGCAGGCGCAGAGATATCAAATGTACGATTCACAGTGACTACGACAGGAAACAAAGCTCTTCGGCAGGGAAGATGGCGGGAGCTCTAGCATCCAAGATGCCAAAGACAAGAAAAGCTTATATATACTTCTATCTATGTACAATTGTCTGTTGTCAATGTATAAACAGCATTGAATATTTGGCGTATGTGTGTTCTGTGATCCACCCTGAGTCCCCTTCGGGGTGAGAAGGGTGGAATATAAATACTGTAAATAAATAAATCATGTTATACCCCACCTTGGGCCACAAGGAGAGGTAGGTGATAAATAAATAATAATCATCATGATTATTATTTTTTTAAGAATTTTATTAGATTTTATAAAGAATACAACGAAATAGTGAGAACAATAAAAGTATAGAAAAGTGAGGGGAAAAAAGAAGAGATAAAGATAAAACACATTCTACAAAAATACTCACACAAAAAGCAAAATGGGAAAAACACAAAACACACACACACACACAAAGAAGAAGAAGAATTGATACTCCAGCGAATGGAAACCCTTTATGTGCCAACCTGCAATTCTTTAAATAAAGAAGCCTTCCATTGTCTTACCAAATTCAATGGGACACTTGCAGCTTCAACACCAGCCCTTTCTATAAGCAAGAGAAGGGCTTCAATAGTCTCATAGTCATATGGATCCAGCTGTTTTGCAGGTGGAAAACAAAAGGGGAAAAACCACAAACAACGTTAATGGATCACTCCCAATTGCAACATTAATGACCAGGCACTCTTCAGGATTGACAAAGAATGAGAAAGACGGCAGCGTTTGCTCTCCACGTTGAAAGCACAAACCACCATTGCTCTTCTCCATGGTGACAGCAAAACAGATTATCTAGAACCAGGGTTTGCTAATCAGATTCAACCCATTTAAATGGAACTAAGAGAAGCACTAACCATTCTAATTCTATTTACATCCAGGCTCGTATATTACAATTAATTAATATTAGTATATGTTAATTGTGATGAAAGGTTCAAATTGGATGGTAGATGGTTGGAAGCAGGAGCTGCCAGGAAGGCACTTAAAGGCAATGAATGGCTCCTTTTTTGCTAATGAGGACAGAAGGAAGTCACGATTCAGTTGTAAGGCAGTGAATGGGAATTCAGAAAGTGCTTTTGAGGGGCTTGGTGGGCAATATTCTTGAAAGAATAAATTTTTCTGAAGAGGTCTTGCAACTGACAAATTTGGCTTGATAGTATTGACAGTCATATCCATCTAATTTGCAGCATTCTACCTGGGAAAGTGGAAGTGGTTTGCCCTTAAACACTAGACATATGCAATCAATTAAAAATGGTTCAAAAGTACTTATAAAACTGGAGCTCCTGGAGCTTCATTTCTAAAGTATACTTATTTAAAAAACTAGTCACTATAATGAGACTAACAAAATTTCATTACTATTTCAATACAGCAATTGTACATGCACATTAATGCAATAATTACTACTATTGGGAAAACTTCAGGGGCTCTTATCTCCCTCATTTTAAAAGCTATTGGGGTGAAATTTGCTACAATAGTAGCACACATTTACCAATCTTTGCCCATCAAGTTTCATAACATTTCACTTATCCACTGATTTTCGGTGAATTTTCAAAGATTTTATAAACAACATTTTTTTAAAACAACTACAAGAGCTGGAATTTTATCTACAATGCACAAGACTTGAATTTTATCTACAATGCACAAGATAACCAGGGCACCAATCTACAGATTTTTGGGAATTTTTAAAAGTTTAGACGAAAACAATTTATCCCCCAAAAAGCGACAACAGCAATCCCCTTGAATGTCTGTCTGTCTTTATGACACACGACCACATAACTTCAACTTAGTACAGATTTATACTATTCCTTACTTACTCTAGTCCTCTTTGCAGATTCAATAATTTTATTTAGCATTACACTGACCTTCCTTATGGCAATAGTCCAAAGTAAAAGGAATGATTTTTATTAAAGCACTTTATGTTCTCATGGCTTTACCAAAGTTGCTTAATGGTGGCTTACTTTAGTCCTCTTTGCAGATTCATTTTTTAAAAAAATAATTATTAGACTAACTCTAAATGGCGACTGCTGCCGCCAGCTATCATTTGGGTCCTTCAGCCCTCATTTGGGTCCTGAGCAGCATTGCATTCTGGGAAATGTAGTTTACAGTGGGGCCTTTTGCATTCTCTGCCACCAGGGGCCAAGCTTTCCAAAACTACATGTAAGATAGCTGTGTTCTCAATCTCCATTAAGTTTAGTCCCGCCCACAGCAGCTTCCTTATAGTGACATTGGGGCGAAACTCCAAAGTAAAAGAACTGGTTTTTAAGCACTTTATGTTCTCTTGGTTTTACCAAAGTTGCTCAGTGGTTATACTGGAAATTAAACTGACCGTGGGAGACATCCGAATGTTACAGAATCTTAACAAAAATTGTTGTGAGTGTTTCAATTTCTAAATCCCCTCCCCACTATTCCTGCATCTTTTGAATATCCCTTCATATGCATGAACGAATTTTACAATTTTTAACTAAATACAATTTAAAAACAAAGTTATGCACAAGCCTATTAAACACAGAATCCATGCTTTGCCATTTCTTTTACCTTGTGCAGTGTTGCACTGAGATTGGCAACCAAGCTGGTGGTGCTGTTCAGAAGAGGCATGGTTTCCAAAGCCTTACTTAATACTAAGGCATCTTTTGGGGATTTCCCAGCGTCCCCCAAAGCATCTCCTTCAACACCAGTCGTGCTGATGTTTTGGATGTGCGTTTTGATGTAAAGCTGCAGAACCACATCCGTATCCACTTGGTAAGCACTAAAGGGAGGAAAAGAGAGTGGAACATTTGACTTTACCTTTGGACCAAGGGCCGTCCTCAGGATTTTAATCGAACAGTTTCTATTTATGTGAGAAAATTGCCTTTTGAAAATAATTTCGCTTTCTCACCTGCAATATTTCCTGATGAGTTCAGTCTCCACATTTGGATGCTTGACCAACGTCGTCAGAAATTTCTCCTTCCTCACTGATGGCATTCTGAAGACACTCTGGAAAGAAATCTACAGACAAACACAGCATCAAATTAAACACGGCACATGTTCCTATGTTGAATAACACTGAGCCCAGACAATTTCAGATATCATAGTCAAGTCTTCTCTCTGCCCAGTGCAAATTTTAAAAGGTTTATCATCAAAGGGGGGACTCTGGAACTCAGCTGCCCAGAAACCTCCCAACCAGCCATGCTTGCCAGGTTCCCAGTCAATTTAAGTTGTGAGTTTTAATCTGCATCTAATCCATGGATTTTAACTTGTATTTTAACTCTGTGTGTCTTTTAATAGTGCTTTATCTCTTGTTTCAAGAGATCAGCCATTGCCAGGAGGGACAGAGAGCTTCATCTATGCTGATGATTGTGCCATCACTGCTCAAGCAGGGAGCTTTGAAATGGTTGAACAGAAGCTCTCCGAAGCTTCAGGTGATCTTACTGCCTATTACAGAGGAGCCCCTGGTGGCGCAGTGGGTTAAAGCACTGTGCCGGCAGGACTGAAGACCAACAGGTCGCAGGTTCGAATCCAGGGAGAGGCGGATGAGCTCCCTCTATTAGCTCCAGCTCCTCATGCGGGGACATGAGAGAAGCCTCCCACAAGGATGATAAAACATCAAAAATCATCCAGGCGTCCCCTGGGCAACGTCCTTGCAGACGGCCAATTCTCTCACAACAGGAGCGGTTGCTCCTGACACGACAAAAAAAAGGGGAAACCAGCTGATTCCTAATCCATCTAAAATGCAGACGTGTGCTTTTCACCTTAAGAACAGACAAGCATCTCGAGCTCTGAGGATGACCTGGGAGGGAATCCCACTGGAGCATTGCAGCACACCCAAATACCTTGGAGTTATTCTGGACCATGCTCTGACTTAGAAGAAGCACTGCTTGACTGTCAAACCGGATGATAGACTCCCTCCTGGGCACACAGAAGATATGGTGACTTGGCAGGTGCTGAACAGACTGCACTCTGGCACAACGAGGTGCAGAGCCAATCTTCAAAAAAGGGGCTACAATGGGGCTCTTCTCCACAACATGCAAGTGTGGAGAAGAGCAAACCACAGACCATATACCACAATGCGGTCTAAGCCTGCCAAATGCACAATGGAGGATCTTCTTACAACGACATAACGGCACTCCAAGTGAACAGCTTCTGGTCAAAGGACATTTAGTATAATGCCAAGTGTTTAACTTTGTGTTTTTTATACATTATATCTGTACCCTCAATTTGCTTCTGACACGATAAATAAATAAATCTCTTGTTTCAATAATGTTGCATCCTGCTGCAAGCCACAGTGAGACTCAAGTAATATTATTATTATTATTATTATTATTATTATTATTATTATTATTCCGACATCGGAAGAAGAAGCAGCACTCACACCAAGTTTCCCAAGCTCTAGGCCCCATTCGGCATCTGTGATCAAGTCTTCAAACTCTTTCTGCTCCTTTGTCATGTTGCTGAGAAGGCTGAGCTGCACTCCAACAACACCGACAGCCTATTCAAGGAAGAGAGAAACAACTGTTAAAAGACACAAGTGCTAGGTTCTCTTGAAGAACCCCACCCTTCGGCTCTTTTGTTCTTTTTCTCTCACTTCAAATACTCAAGGATCCCTTCAGTGTGGAGAGCCCTTTTGAAGTGCATTCACACTTCTCGCTACCTATTTCAAGGCCTACTCTACTTTAAGGACCCTCTGGCTGCTCAAAAAGTCCTGAAAATATGGGGGCATGTTGTTTGGAGATTTCACACACTATGGTGGTTGCAGCTGCTCCAACCAGCTGGAGCAGAATTACTGGAGTTTTGACCTTTGTTGCTGGTTGTAGCAGATTTTAGCACCTCCCCGATCAGCATGTTACTCTCTTATCTCAGCAGCTGTGGCTTCCCAAACTCAACACCTATCCCCTATCCTCCACTCCGGTATCCACTTTCTCTGCCTCGCACATCATTTCTACCTTTCATTTCTAATTTTCTATTAATATTTTGTGGTTTTTGTACAGATGCAATGCAATGTTTCTTTAGCACTATGCCTCTAAAGCAGGGAATTTTCTTGGTAAATTAAGGTCAGTGGGAAATATTGGTTGCAAAGGAGATACCTCCATTTAAAGCGCCCACCGTGGGACACCCAAAATATAGCAAGACAAAATATAGCAAGGAAAGCAAGACAAGAGATCCAGACCTGTGAAATGTACCCCATATCTACTGGAGAGGTCCCTGAGAGGAAAACTCTTTCCCCGCTTGTCATAAAGGGAAACTACCTAAGACTAGTCCAGATCTTATGTTGGATGAAACTTAGAATGGACCACTGTGGTGGCAGGTCAGGAGTCCATTTCTGCCCTTGGGATCCTTCAAGGCTTCTACAGATTGCCCCAAATGCAATACCAGAAGGAGCCAAGAGTATATTTACATCCAATTGTCATTTGTAAATAGAGTAGAGTCATTAGAAACTTGCCAACACTTAGTTAAATTCCATTTAACCCACAAATCTATTCTTTTGGGGACTACAGTGAAGCTAAGGTCATTGGTGGACCATCATCATGACTGGTGATGGGAATCAGAATCCAGAAGGCCACGAAATACCAAACGTTGTTTGACAAATTCACATAATGAAAAAGAGGATCCAAGATCTACCTGGATTTTGCTGTAATTTTGTGACGTCTTATTCACAATATCCCAAAGCATTTGAAATCTCATTTCTTTTGGCAACACAGTGCAATAACCAAGAGCAAGTCTGTGATCTATGGGATGACTATTGAAAACCTATAGACAAAGAAAACAAGAGAGAAGCACTATGTTCATTCTCGTATGAAGAGACATCCAAGCACAGGCTAACGATTGGTGCTACCTCAGTGAAGCATGGACCGCATGAATTAAAAACAGACTTAATACTTGGCTTCTTATTTAGCCAAGGACAGAGAGCCAGCAACAGAACCCAAGCTATAAGAGAAGCAGAAGCGAAAACTACTAGAATTATGAAAGAGGTCCAAAATAATAAACCCAGCCAACCCAAGACCATGCCATTAGGAAAAAGGGCGAGATTGGAGGTCCTCTACAGCCATTGCAATACTCCTTTCTCTCCTCTACAGCACAGTATAGTCTGGAGTCACCTTGTGCAACAGGTCTATCACAATGCCTTTGGTCACTGATGTCGATCTCTGCAACATTTGGTAGAGAAAGGCTTTGTGCTCAGCATCTTGTGCCTCTTGTTCACACACCTGAGGGACATAGAAAAATGCATTGGCGCCTGTGCAAAGAAAGCCTTCTGCATGTTCATGTCATCCACTCCCTTGAGAAAAGTTTGGCAATGCAAAGACAATCCTTCCACTAGCATAAATGCTTTCATGTATTTATTTCAAATGCCCAGTGCTGCTCCCACCATCTGATCCTATGGTTCTGAAATTGGCTTACAGGACATTATAAGGATTCAACCCCCCCCCCCCCCCCGGGCCCAAAGTAAACTGGCCTCTTAGAAGTAGGGCATCTAAAGTATTTGCTGGGGAGCTGAAAGGCCTTTTCTCTTTGTTACTTTGGTCCCAAGACAAACCTAAAGCACACCTTGTTGCAGTAATAATACCCATATTTCATCACATAATAGTTACCGCCAATAATGGCTGCAGTTCCTTTTTCTGGCTGGCAATATTGGTATTTCTGTGTTCCTCACATAATAGTCGGAAAGCTATTTGGAGCTGATTCTCAGAAATCAGAGAATCAAAGGCAGATTTTTTTATCATGTAATAGTCACATCCCCTTTTTCAATTAAAAAGGATTAAAAGTGTGACTGTTATGTGATGAAATACTGTAGTAGGTTTTGGGGTTTTTTTTGTCGTGTCAGGAGCGACTTGAGAAACTGCAAGTCGCTTCTGGTGTGAGAGAATTGGCCGTCTGCAAGGGCGTTGCCCAGGGGACGCCCGGATGATTTGATGTTTTTATCATCCTTGTGGGAGGCTTCTCTCATGTCCCTGCATGAGTAGCTGGAACTGATAGAGGGAGCTCATCCGCCTCTCCTTGGATTCGAACCTGCGACCTGTCGGGTAGTAGTAGTAATAATAATAATAATAATAATAATAATAATAATAATAATAAGTTAATGTTACCTGACTCTTCTCATGGCTCAAAGCAGGGAACAACAGAATTAAAATACATCACCATAACATACATACTATAAAATACAGACATTAAAAGACACCATCTCAATCCACATATATTAAAATACAGTAGTGAGTCTCATGTTTTATCCCATACCTTTGCACCCAGGCTTGTATCCATGTCGCTTGCAGTTATGTTCTGGAACAAGGACCCCGAAGAGATGATGGCTAGTTTCAAAGCAAACTCACATTGACTGCCTTCCTGGAGCTTACTGAGCAAAACAGAGATGGGGTGCATACAGGAAACACAAAGGTTCCTTCCTACAGAAGGAGATAAAGGTGACAGGATGTTGTGATGCTGAAGATGTTTTTTTTAACCTTGAAAATTAAGAAGAAAATATCTGCTAACAAGCCTCTGTGGGAGAATGAAGACTACAAATTCACCTTTGCCTTAGGAATATGACTCAGACACCAAAAATGCCCAGGAAGATGATGCAAAGCAAGATAGCATTGGCTTAGTAACTAAGACTAAGAAACATCAAGGATTCAGTGAATTATGCACCCAGCTATTAAAACTCTGATTCCTTACTAATGTTCTCTAATGCAAGCTGACAATCCATGTTTGATGGGTGAGAGACTAAGCCTGCATCTACACTGTCAAATCATGCAGTTTCAGAATACAACTTGACTGCAATGAACTGGATTATATTGAACCGGATTATAATCCGGTTCAATAAAGTTCAGATGAATTCTGAGACTGTATTATATGACAATGGAGATTTAGCCTGAGATACATGTTGCCAGGCTGGTAGATGGGAAAGGAAATACAAAATCAGTGATAAAACACGTTTGTGATTGTATTCCACCATGCTTTAGAGAAACATGTCCCAATGTGGCATTTACAAGATATTTCCTGCCATTTACAGGTAGAGGTTGAATTCTGAGGATTGCAGCCAAAGGCATCTGGAAACTACCAGTCTGAGGAAAGCAATGTAAAATCAAACAAAAAGCATGGGATCCAAACATATGAACGTGGGAGATCTTCTCCTAGAATTTACATTTTATACAAATGATCAGCCACTGCCAGAAGGGGCAGAGAGTTTCATTTATGCTGAAAATAGTGCCACCACCACTCAAGCAGGGAGCTTTGAAATGGTTGAACAGAAGCTATCCCAAGCTTTAGGTCAGTGGTTCTCAACCTTTCTAATGCCGTGACCCCTAAATACAGTTCCTCATGTTGTGGTGACCCCTAACCATAAAATGATTTTCGTTCCTACTTATTTTACTACTTATTATTTAATTATTTAATATTAAATTCAATTATTCATCAAGTGCCCTGCTATGGTTGACTTCTCTGGTTGAATCAGTCTGCAGTGTTCCTTAATTCGTGTTTTGGGAAATGCTGCGTTTGGCGGTCCCTGTACATGCTATATGGTAGACTCCTGCAGAAGTCCTGCAGGTCCTCTCACTTCTGCAGGAGTCTACCGGATACCCTATAGCTGTGGACAAGTCTCAATAGGGACCCCCAAACGCTGCACCCAAACCTGAATCAAGGAACATGAAAGGCACTGCAGATTACTTCAACCAGAGAAGTCAGGCATAGCAGAGCACTTGATGAACCAACCTGGACACAGCATATTATTTGAAAACACAGAAATGCTGGACCACTCTCACAACCACCATGTCAGACTACACAGAGAAGCCACTGAAATCCACAAGCATGTGGACAATTTCAACAGAAAGGAGGAAACCATGAAAATCAACAATATCTGGCTACCAGTAGTAAAAACTCTAAAATCAGGACAGTAAATAAAGAACAACACTCTGAAAACTGGGGGATTCCAGGCATGAAACAATCAGGGCCAGCTAGCATCTCCCAACAAAGAATTACTCCAGGCAGGAAGCTTTGCCACACCTTGAAGCTGCAAAGCTTTGCAATGCTAATCAAGGTGATTAGTTCCAACATTCACAGTTGCCTCCAACAGACAATCATTCTTTCTCCCATCCTGGACATTCCATCGATATATAAACCTCCCTTGCCTAGTTTCCAACAGATCCCAATTAACCTCTGAGGATGCCTGCCATAGATGTGGGCTGAACGTCAGGAGAGAATGCTTCTGGAACATGTCCATACAGCCCGGAAAACTCACAGCAACCCAGTAATATAAATATTGGATATGCAGGATGTATTTTCATTGTTACAAATTGAATATAATTAAAGCATAGCAGTGAATCACAAAAACAATATGTTTGGGGGAGTATTACATCTTGTTACATCCCGGTTAGATTACTGCAACGCACTCTACGTGGGGTTGCCTTTGAAGACTGTTCGGAAACTTCAATTAGTCCAGCGGGAGGCAGCCAGACTGGTCACCGGAGCGTCATACAGGGAGCATACCACCCCCCTGTTATGTCAGCTCCACTGGCTGCCGATCCAGTTCCGAGCACAATTCAAAGTGCTGGTTTTGACCTACAAAACCCTACACGGTTCCGGCCCAGCGTATCTGTCCGAACGCATCTCCCTTTAGGTCCCACCTCGGAATTTGAGATCATCTGGGGAGGCCCTGCTCTCGGCCCTGCCTCTGTCACAAGTGAGATTGGCGGGGACGAGGAGCATGGCCTTTTCAGTGGTGGCTTCTCACCTATGGCATTCACTCCCCGGGGAAATTAGATCAGCAACATCCCTCCTTTCCTTCAGAAAGAAATTAAAAACATGGATGTGGGACCAGGCGTTTGGGCAATCTGGCAGATGAATAAAGGACTGTGACGACGGATAGGAATGGACAATGTGGAACGAAATATGACTCTGAGTTGGCGAACGCTGTGTCTGAGATTGGCTATCGATTGTGTGATATATTGTTTTATTGTTTTAATTGTTGACCATTTATTACTGTTTTTATATGTTATTGTATTGAATGGGCATCAAGATGTGCCTTTTTGTAAGCCGCCCTGAGTCCCCCCTCGGGGGTTGAGAAGGGCGGAGTAGAAGTATACGAAATAAATAAATAAAATAAATATGGGCAATGGTTGATGTGATTTGCAGTACCTTCAACCAATTCTGCTCTGACTTCCACAGACTACTGAGACCCCCAGGAATTATAGAACTGGACCAAACTTGGCACCCAGAACTGCCATGACGAACAGAATATACTGGAGTGGTTTGGGAAGAATTGACAGTGATTTAGGGGAGATGTA